CCCTCGCCACTCCGTCGGACGGCAAGCAGACCCAACAGACTGTTGTGGAAAAAACTGCTCGGCAATCTGTAGAAGTTATTTCCTTCGGGTAAATCGATTTGCGCCTGACACTCTGGGCATCTGAACTTCCCTTGTCTGTGGCTCGCTCTTGCATGATTCGCCAGACACTCAAGGCAAAATGTGTGAAGACATGAGATAGTCTTGGGTTTGTTGTAGATATCGAGGCAAAACGAGCAAGTAAGATGCTTCTTGAGGTTTTTCAAAAGGGATTCCATCGCGACGCGTCGCTCAGTTGACTCTCAGTTGCGAAACAATTATTTCAGATTACGAGAAATCAGAATTGATCAACGTCTCGACTGTCTCAGTATAACCAATCAAGACTGTCAACAAAGGACCCTTTACTGTTGATCTGATGCGTGTAATATGATAAATAAATGCACGATTTTTGGCTTTGTTGTGTTTTGAAGGTCACGCTATGTTAATCTCGAAAATTAAAATCACGTGAATCTAATCAGGTTTTCACGTGATTCATCGCGAAAAGGCTGTCATATCATTAGGAAAATTTTAATATACAATTTAACAGGTAGCGCATAAATGCTTCTGAGGATGGTGAGCGAAAGTAGAAGCTTTTTCCTTTTTGTGCCGACTTAACCATCAGTAAATTCAAAATAGCTTTAGTCTGACCCTCGTCTGGGCATTTGCAAATTCTAAATATAGAGGTTCCAGTAAAGGCTATTTTAATCCCGCATTGCGCCACTATTTTTGGCGTAGTCCCGTAATCTATTGTAACTCAACTCAGAATGTTTATCCCGATCTCGCCTGGTTAGAGTTACAGTTCTCCGCGTAACCTTGGCAACGTGTGATTTTCTACTTTCATCCCGCATGCAGCCGTCAATTGTAAAATTATCCCGCATACCCCCTGTCAAAAAGGGCAAATTCCCGCTCCCGCAGTACATCTGGTACTTTTATCCCGCATCCCGCCAAACCTTTATTCCACCCCTACTTATTTCTCAGAGGACAGGTGACACTCAACGCACGAACTTCTCTGTGGCGACTTTAATCAATTTCTTCTACGAAATCTTCATCGACGCACAGCAAGGATAAGATCGTGTAATTTTGTCAACGTGTTATCAGCTATGACAGTGTTATTTACACTAAGAATACTTAGAAACAGTGCTACACCGACTGAGAATCGAGAATGACTGACCACTTCCTTGGGGACGCAAATTCTAACTTCACAAAACCGCGCATATCACGGCAGAAGTAGAGTTTCTACGACGTCTGAAACTAACTAGAGCAAGCCATCAAAAACAGACCATACAGTCTAAAACTTCAACAACAAAGGACCAAATTTGACGAAAGCGCAGTTTAGCTCGCTCAGTCAGACTCACTTGTCATTCCGGCTTTCGCTTTTGAGCAACAAAAGTTTAAAAGTTTAAAACTATGTCATTATCGAGTACAAAATCTCAGTTTTTCTATGATAATAACCTAACAACAACGAATCTTCTCAGAATTACAAGTAAGAACAGCTTCTTTCAGTGTTTCTGGCACAACAAATACAAATTATATAACTATGCCTCAGCTAAAGACAGTCAAAAATGTTACACTTAAATTATCAGAAACTGAATTTCTTAAAAACTTAATATGTCACCAAAACATTGAAGTATAAATGTCCATTGTGAGGTCACGTGGTATATTTTTTTACCGGGAATGGGGAGGGGAAGAGGAAGGCTACAGCGGCCTACCAAGCTAATATGGAGTCTTATGTGACACCAAGTATCAAAAACGAGAGGTAACAAGTAACTCAGCTCTTATGACAACGTCCATTGCTATAGACCCTTTTCATAAATGGCTGCCAATTATAAATTCTTTTGTAAGTATTAAAATTAGCCTGACTAACCTCGTTTTTGAGTTGATAATTCAAAAGAATTTTTACTCCCAAACGAGTTTAGTGAGGCTAATTTAAATGCATACAAAAGAATTTTAAATTGGCAGCCATTTATGAAAAGGGTCTATTTAATTTTAGACTCAACAGACAATCAGTCTTGAAACTCCCTGCTAACAAATTCTTAGAAGAAAAGTAAGAATAAATACGTATTACCTTTGCACGAATGCTAAATTACACGAACCAACATATACAGCATGAAAGATCATATCTAAACACACGCGTATTACACCATTTGGTCTGTTGACAATTACTGGTAAGACTTTTGCTCACCTTGTAATGCAGGTTAGGGTTACGTCGCCAGAGAAACATGACGTCATATTTTTAAAAGACCAAATAAACACATTGTTCGTGAATTTCAAATACTAACGACAATTGAAACATTTACTTCAATATGTACACTTTCTTTTCTTTATAACTAGTCACGAGAATACTTCCGTCCGGTGCTGTTGTTATTCCAACAGGATCTGGTAAAACAGCGTGACTTTTGCCTGTGAAACGACCGTCTAAAGAAAATTGCTGAACTCGGTTGTTTCCGGAATCACATACAAGAAGATTATTGGAACTGTCTACATGCATGAAGTACGGGTAAATGAATTGTCCGTCTTGATTCCCTTGTATCCCAAACTTGAACAAAAAAGTTCCTGACTGATTAAACGCTTTAACGCAGTGATTGCCTTTATCCGAAACGAAAAAGATGTTTTTCAAAGGAATGCAGCTAACTGGACGGTCGAGTTTCTCCGGACCACTGTCTCCAAATATAGAACGAGTTTCTCCCTCTTTGGATATCACCTGTATCCTATTATTCTCGTACTCGGCTACAACAATGCGTCCTTCATCATCCAGACAAACATCAATTGGATTCTGAAACTCTCCTTTTCCTGTACCACTCTTTCCAAAGCTCTTCACAACTCCTGTCTTGATGTTCAAGTGTTGTATTCTATGATTCCCGTGGTCTGCAATTAGAATCTCGTTGTTGTTCAAAAAAGAAACGCCTTTTGGGAACTGAAATTGTCCAGTTTTTGTGCCTCGGCCACCAGTTTTCCTTAAACAGTTGCCTTCGTTATCGAAAACGTAAACACAGTGCCTACGTTGATCTGTGACAATCATATTGCCTTCCATATTAACAGCGATTCCATATAACCCTTGGGGAGTGTCTCCTTGAAAGAATTTTAAGTCCAAGTTATCCACTACAACAAGCTCACGTTCTTTCACCTGCGTAGTAAAAGGACAGGTCGGAAGTTTATCGCCATTGATCTTCACTTCAATGTTGTAAGCACCTGGTACTATTGGAGTAAACTTCACTTGAAGATTACCGTCTTTTTTCTCACTAACAATCACATTGGAGACATCTTTAGCGGGTTCTATCACAACTTCAACTTGATCTTTAAGGTTAGCCTGGTTACTCGTCTTCCCTTCAGATGTTTTGGGGTATAACGTAAACTCTGCTTCTACACCAGCCTGAAGAGTTTGATCCAGCCCTTCAAGCCTTGATCGATTTGCGTCGACCTTAATGTCCACAGTCTCAATAAAACCCAGTTTCAAGCCTTCTACAGGGGAAGCCGACGAAAACTTGACAAATGATGTCTCGCCGTGTTTTGGAACTTCAGTAAAACCAAGCTCTTCAAATCTCTGCCTCAAAGTTTTCTTGTTCCTCATGATATCCGAGCTTGAGCTTCTCTGTGTCAAATTATTAGCAAACTCAACCGCTTGCTTCATTTGTTTGACCAGGGACTGTGCTTCCTGTATAGCGGAGTTAAATCTCTCGATTCTTGTCACGCGTGTCGTCTCGAGTGAGATAATCGCCTCTCGCTCGCGCTCACGAATTTCTGCGATCATTTGGTCTGCAGCTTGCGAGACTCCGCGTTTAGCAGTTACGACATTCCTTTCCAGCTCAGAAACCGCTTCTTCAAATCGTCGAATCACCTCACCAAGCTGCCTTATCTTTTCCTCGATCATTTCAGCGCCTGACAAGATGTCGGGTTTCTCGTCACGAGCTGCTTTGTCGAGCAAAACGATTTCGTGGTTTCGGTGATCCGTGACTATGCAAATTTGGCACACACAAGCTTCACACGAGAAGCAGAAGAATCGGGTGACTTCCTTCTCGTGAAACTCCTGCGAGCAAAATGGTTGTCGCTTCAATAAGGCTTCGTAATCTTCTGCTTTAAACTCATTGACTGGTGTAACTCTGTGCCCTTCGAAAGATTCCTTAAGCATTTCATGTGCGTTGAAACAGTCTGGGCACATAAATCGTCCACAGTCAAAGCAATAGTACATCTGAGGGCTGTTCTTCCTACACTGGGAACAAGTAATGCTGTTTCCCTCGCCACTCCGTCGGACGGCAAGCAGACCCAACAGGCTGTTGTGGAAAAAACTGCTCTGCAATCTGTCGAAGTTATTTCCTTCAGGTAAATCGATTTGCGCCTGACACTCTGGGCATCTGAATTTCCCTTCTCTGTGGCTCGCTCTTGCATGATTCGCCAGACACTCAAGGCAAAATGTGTGAAGGCATGAGATAGTCTTGGGTTTGTTGTAGATATCGAGACAAATCGAGCAAGTAAGATGCTTCTGCAGGTTTTTCAAAAGGGATTCCATCGCGACGCGTCGCTCGGTTGACTCTCAGTTGCGAAACAATTATTACAGATTCCGAGAAATCAGAATTGATCAACGTCACGACTGTGTCAGTAGAACCAATCAAATTTGAGACTGTTAACAAAGGACCCTTCACGGTGTCATATGATAAAATTCAGCACGACTGCTGGGTTTGTTGTGTTTTGAAAGTCACGATATGCTAATCGTTTAAATTACAATCAAGTAAATCTTATCAGGTTTGTTCTAATTCATCACGAATAGGCTGTCATATCATTAGAAAATCTGAAATTAACGATGCAATAGGTAGCGCACAAATCTCTCTGAGGATGGTAAGCAAAATTTGATGTTTTTTCTATGCCGACTTTAATCCTCCCACCAGCGAGTTGAAAATGGCTCTTGTCTGACCCTCGTCTGGGCCTTTGGAAATTGACGTTTTTATCAAGAAGCTAAATATTGAGGTTGCATTGTAAGCTACTTCAGTTCCGCGACCCGCCACAATTTTCGGTGCAATCCCGCAATCTAGCACAATTTGGAATGTTTATCCCGATCCCGCCTGGTTAGAGTTGCAGTTCTCCGCGTAATGTCCGTGACGTGTGATTTTCGTTTTTTCATCCCGTATCCCGCCGTCAATTTGAAAACCCGCATCCTCCCTGTCAAACAGGGCAAATTCTGCTCCCGTAGTAGTATTTTTATCCCGCATCCCGCTATTAAAATTTCTGTCGTTTCGCATCACGCCTCCATTTTTTCTCTCTTTCCGCATCCCGCCAAACGTATGTTGGACCCTCTATGTTATATCGAGGTTCGTTAAATTGAGGTTCTGCCACATGCGTTTACCTGTAACTTTGGCCGCTTCGTTATATAAAGGTTCGTTAAATTGACATTCCACTGTAGCAACAAAACGACCCGTCAAATGCTGCCGTCTCTTCATACTATTTTTTGATATACGTACAACTTGGCGGAAATATAAAACGGAACCAACCTCATCTACTCTAACAGCTGACCCCTGTTCATCAGAGAGTACGACATCCCTCCAGCTTGTGATAAAGACAGCTGTAAGATATTGTAGGACTGGAGAAAGGTCCTGTGTAAAAATAGGGAAATAAGGAAATCAAAGGGTACCTCAGTTTTAGTCTCAAAACAAACATTTCTCTTTGCTGACTGTCACACAATTCTATTGATGTTAGTTGGTTATTTTGCTCACAGATGAACTCAATTTCACTCTAGTTTTCCACAGACAAACTAGCACAATCTACCCATGGGCAAAATAGCCGTTCAGACTTTTTAACTGAAATAATAGCAAATTCTCTTCAGTTGATAAAAGTAACGTAGATAACACCAGTAACCCAGAGCAAATCCCTTGCAAAGGCATGATTTTTCTAGCTGAAAAAAACTTCCTCGTGAACAAAATTCTACATAATAGTATCATTCCCAAAAATACAGGAAATCTAAATTTCATTACA